AAAAAAATCAGTTGTATTTTTAAGTTTCAGCTGCAAATAACTGTACATTAAAATGAAGAAAAACACCCATTTATGGTAGCGCCAAACACAAAAAGTACCTGAACATAATTTCACAATAAACCTTTAAAACCTCCACCTCTCTACTTGCAAAATACTGTTCTAAGTATTTTTCAGGGATTAACTCATTCAGTTCTCATAAAACTCTGTGAAGAAAATACTTCATCATTCTCATTTTAAAGTTGGGGAAACTGAGGCAGACAGGTGAAGAGACTCACCCAAGAGCTATCAGATGGGAAGGGTCGGGGTGGAGCATGAAAACAGGTTGGGGAAAAAACACAACTCGGGCTCATCAACACAAGCACAGTCACGGCTCGGCCTGCTGGAACGCTACACCACCCAGCCCGGATATTCTGGAAACCAGGCTTCCTGACGCAGGTGACATGGAACCTGAAGGCGGTGAACCGCAGAGGCGGCTACCGGAGGCCTGAACTCGGAATCTCGCCTCATCTGCTTCCTCCTTTTTGCCCTTTCAATTTCTCTCTGGAGACCTGCAGAGTGATGTGGCTCTCCCTTGCCAGATGAACAAATTCCACTGTTTTGCGCTGCTCTTCGGTGTCTTTATTTTCCTTCTAACGAGGCTGTCCTTGAGCTGTCCAGAATAGTACCCACAGGCCACATGGGGCCATTAGGCTAAAATTACCTAAAATGTAGAAACTCAGTCCCTCAGGCCACGTCTAAGTGCTCATAGCCACATGACGACAGTGGGTACCATATGGGACAGTACAGATGAAAACACTGCCCTCATCACAGACAGGGCTTTTTTCAGACAAGAGTCTCACTCTGTTGCTCAGGCTGGAGTGCAGTGGCATGATCTCACCTCCCTGCAACCTTTGCCTCCTGGGTTCAAGAAATTCTCGTGCCTCAGCCTTCCAAGAAGCTGGGATTACAGGCACCCACCACCACGCTCAGCTAATTTGTGTGTGTGTATATATATATTTTTTATATAAAAATATACATGTGTGTCTATATTTTTTTGGGGGGGGGGCGGAGTTTCGCTCTAGTTGCCCAAGCTGGAGTGCAGTGGCAGGATCTCAGCTCACTGCAACCTCTGCCTCATGGGTTCAAGTGATCCACCCGCCTCAGCCTCCCGATTACACATGCCCACCAATTTTGGATTTTTTAATAGGGACAGGATTTCGTCCTGTTGGCCAGGCTGGTCTTGAACTCTCGACGTCAGGATGATCCACTTGCCTCGGCCTCCCAAAGTGCTGAGATTACAGGCGTGAGACACCGTGCCCGGCACTGATTCTTAGCTTTACATTTTTTATGCCCATCTAAAGCAGAGGAGGCTGAGAGTCAGAGAGGTTAAGTCACTTGCCCAAAGTGACAGTGTCCTCTGGCCCCCAGCTGTTGGTGACACCTGCATTTGACGGCAGGAGTCTTCCCACTGAGGTTCGCATAAACAGACTTCCCAAGGCACTAAGGCCAGGATAATTTCAAAGCAATCTATTTTCTGCTTCTCAACTTTTGCTATGTTCTCTCTGCTAAAACAGAACTGCCTGAGAAGGAACTTGTGTTTAAAAAAACTGACTTCTCCTTTCCCGTCCCCCTTTCACAATGGGTCCTCCCCTTTACAAAGGAAAGGTATTCTCTAGCGAGACTGCCCAACGAGCCCCTCCGATTCCCACCTACAGGTGTGTGTGAACACCGTTCCTCGGTATCTACAGCTACGAGAACGTAAGACGGGAACAGAACGGACAACCCCGTCTCACTGGGCAAAAGCCGCCCGCGGACAGTGAACCCTCTGGAAACGCGTCCCCCGAGGCGCGTGCACAACACACGACTTTTTAACATGCCAGTGCGCACACACTGATGCTGTCCTGCGCGAGTGTATACTACCATCATCACTTTAACGTTCCAGGCGAAAACGTTCAGTACTTAGAGCCCTGGATCAAGGCAAATTCCTAAACAACCTGACTCGGAATTCACACGCGCACCCACCCCTGTGACAGCAGCACCGGGGTGGCCGACAGCACCTCCGACCCAAAACGCGGCTCTGCGGGGCGGGGCAGGACCGGGAGCACGGCGCCGCTCCCCAGCGCCCGGGTTCGCAGACCCGCAGCCCTCCAGGCCTCCCGGCTCCTAGGCTGGGCCTCTCCCGCTCCCCGCGCCCCCGAGCCCCGCGGCCCAGGCCGAGGCCCCTCCTCACGCCCCGGCCACGACCGCCCCCGGGCCCCGCGCCCGCCGCGCCCTCACTCACCTGCTCGGGAGAGCGCGTCACTTCCGGGGCACCGCCGGCGGCCGACCCCTTCCGGTGCCTCTAGGCTCCGGCAGCCTCCGCGCTTCCCTAGTGCGCAGGTGCGGAAGACGGGCCGGCGGACCCCGGAGGGGACCTTGTCCGCGTGAGCGGTCGCCAGGAGGAATAGCGGGAGGGCAGCAGGGCGCTCAGCTGTAGCCGCGCTTCCCGCCGGCGCCCTCGCTGCCGGAGCCCAGGGCCAGCCGCCCCGCCCGGTGCCCAGGACCACCCGGCCCCTCCGTCCCGTCCGGCGCTGTGGTCGTCTGCGAAGCCTCCCGGGCCTGATGAGGACACCGCTCTTGCCCGAGGAAGCTACGGGGCAACGCGGAGCTGGCAGTGGGACCGCACGGCAGTCCCGGGCGCCGTCCTTACCGCCCTTCCCCGGCTCCGCCTTCCGGCCGCGGGGAATCCGGCGCGGACGCTCGGGGACTCTGCCCTGGAACCGAGCTGACAATCTACCGCGCCTGGTAATAAGGGTTTGCAAAACAAGTCGCACCAAAATCCCATTACCTTCATGAAAACTCATTTTATAGGATGATTTTTGAAGAACCAGTTTATTAAGAGATTACACCAAAACCATAAACAATTTATACGTCAAACTCCGACCGAAAAAAAATTAACCGATATCCAGGATGTTTTTCAAACGTACTGTACTCACAAACCAGACAAATTTGACTTGTTCAATAAATAGAAATGAAGTGGCTAAACATTTTTTAATGGAAATGGAAAAGTCTTCCACTCTGTACAGTGTTGAAGGGGTGCCCCCTATAAGTAGAAAAACCCTGACAAAATCAGAGCTTCACGTAGACTCCAACCAGATGAGCATATTAAGGTTTCTTTTCATATCTTAGGAGATGTGTCCGCCTTAATCCCATTGATAAAGACTCTGGGCCTGAGTTCTGATGTACAGTTTTAACATGCTAAGTACTGTTGATTCAACAACAAACCCTAGTGGGTGATGAGCTTTTGCGTACCAATCTGACATTTGTCAGCACTTCTGAAAATTGTGACCATCATTTTTCAAATCAACAATTTGCTGGATGCCAGGGAACAATAGGAAGAAGAATGAGCATCAATTTTCACGTCTTCCTTTGCTGCTTTACTGGCCTTCCACAGAAGTAGTCAGAAAAAAACAAAGCACCATCAACCACACTTCACGAACAACTCATGTTAGCCTAAGCTTTTCCCAACATTCACATGACGGAAGATATAATAAGTTAATGAAAAGGAATTGCTGGCATCACTTTCCCCCACAATATTACATGAAAATGGACAACACATTAAATAAACATTCTGTTATTAATCATTAAATATATTAACACCAAAAATCATGTATAAATTAGGAAATAAATGTACAAACTTATTTTGCAAAGTGCTTTTTAAAATATATACACAACATTCAAGATATTCTTAATGTAAGACATTTCAGATTGAAATTTTGGGATAAGTGTCCTTTCAGAAAGTATTATTAATACAGCACTTAAAAAACGCATACACACACACACACAAAAGGCATATTCCCAGATTGGCAAGGAATAAAAATAAACTATTTTCACAGTTACCTAAAATGTTTAACATTTTCAGTGGGAAATTTTAGTCCCCGATTGAGTTTGCAAATTAGTTCTATGAAAATTGACATGAAAAGAACAAAATCAAGGGAGAAGACTCCCTAACTGAAATTGCGAATACTTCTGTCAATTAGCAATTAAGAACTCTCTTCAGTCATATGAACATACACATTTACTTTTAAGCCCTTACCAGTGTTAAGGGTTTAAAAAGCCCTTATGCCTACAAAAGAAACACTGCTATCCCCAATTCTGTGAGACCTGTCTCAGGGACGAGGGAAGAATGTCCTACAACAGAACTGGCACTCAGCACAGCCAAGTCCTTTAATCTGTGCCTCAGTTCTTCATCTCTAAAAAAATTTCCTCACGCGGGCTGTCAGGATTAATTCAAGCAAAACACGTATGTGCCTTGTAAATTCTAAAGCACTTAACTCTGGATGAAGAACTACTTTTAACTAAAACGAAACATCAATTAAAGAGAAACGTCATTATTAGTAGGCCTCATATATCAAGCACTGGATATCTTTTGTATTTTCTTGGTAGTTCTTGGAAATTCACCAGCATTTATCCAAAGATTTTTTTTAAAAGGATTCATAGCAAATGTGAGTATTATTCCGAGTAAAGGTTGATCAAATGTCCATGCGAGTTATCAATGGCAGCGTAGGATTTTTCTCCTTTGACCATACTTTTCCAAGTGTGCTGTCTTTGATGTTTACACAGAATTGAAATGGGATTTAATATCCTAGAAATGTAAAAATTACTTGTTTCACTATATAAAACCTTTATTTTTCATTAGAAAGAACACAGTAAAGTTAATGGATGTGACTTTCAGACATCCCTAAAATAAAAGAAATGCTTGCTTGGAGATCTGAGCAAGTAGGTCCTGGAAGAAATAATATAAAATAAACAACTTGCCAACTGTTTGGAAAATCTGGTGTCAATATTTTAAATTATCTATCAATTTACCATTGGGCGTATTAAATATTCCAATCCCAGAAATGACCATCAGCTAAACAAGGGTCAAAGCCAGAGTAATCTCTTGACGGCCCACTTCCCAGAGAGCTGCCCCTCTTTCCTTCAGCAACGCTGCGCGCCCCGGGTCAGGCGACGCCCAGGACCCTTAGGGATTCATGTTTATTTGGAATACAGTCATTGATTCCTGTTTACTTTTTAATACAAGAACATGTACCTTTTTGGATAAACGGAATTGGTGAGAGACAGGCCATGAGCAAGCTCTGGAAGTGGCCATCTGTGGCTTCTCCCGAGGGAGATGTTTCTTCTTTTTGTTACATGACAGAAACTGACCCAACACACAGAAGACACCCTCCCACCCACCCATCGAGGCACAGGAAGAGGCTGCTCTCCAGGGGCTGCATGTGTATCTAGCTGTGGTGTAGCCAGTTAAAGAAAATTGACAACCCACGTTACAGCAACTGTATGAGAGAAATGAGACCTAAGGTCTGTTGATCGGAACAGGTGGACTACGGTGTCTTTGAGATCCGTCCCATCCCTGGACACAGAAATGCTCTGATGACAAAATGACCCCCAAAGTAGCTAGAAACATTGAGAAGGGGGCAGGGGGACAAAAAAAGGATACCTCTCCATGTACCGACATACAATACTATACACAGCACCAAAAGTATCACACTGCCAAGCGCCGTCTCGCGCCAGCGGTGCGCGCTCGGCGTCATACCCAGCATGAAATGAGCACGTTTCACATGCAGACGTGGCACTGGGTGAAAGGGTAACCAACATGTCACAATTCACCAGAGCTGCCGCCAGCCCATCCGGCCCCTGGATGAACACGCTACCACAAGGGCTCCAGCCATGTGTCCCTTACTGCTGGTAATTTCCATACTGGCCCTAAAAGAGATCAAGACACAGATTACATCCCTATAGTCATGAGTAAAAGGAAGACAGACGTCCCCCCCCCAGCCGGGACGGGGATAGGAGGGACAACGGCAAGCAAACAACCTCTGCCCAATCTTTGGGGGGCAGCAAACGGCTTTCCAGAAGCCACCGGCCAAGCCTGTGGCTGACAACGTAGTGAGGACCAAGCGTTTGTTCGTTCAGTCACACATGGGGATCGCTGTGGCTGGGTCTGGGCCAGATGCCTGGCATCAGACCCTTATGCTGGACCTGCTATGCAGGCAGGCTCTCCTCCAAGTGGGCCCCCTTGGGAGCCCCCAGAAAATGGGAGCGGGGGTGACCAGGGTAACAAGCTTCGATTTATTAAAAAAAAAAAAAAAATGAAGACCCAGCCTGGGCCACATGGCAAGACTCCATCTCTACAAAAATCCAAAAATTAGCCAGGTGTGGTGGCATACGCCAATAGTCCCAGCTACCTGGAAGGTGAGGTGGGAGGATCACTTGAGCTCAGGAGGTCAAGGCTGCAGTAAGCCATGACTGCCCCAGTGCACTCTACTATGGGTGAGACCCTGTTTCAAAAAAACAAAAAAAAAAAAATCTGAAGGCTGGGTGCAGTGGCTCATGCCTGTGATCCCAGCAATGTGGGAGGCCGAGGTAGGAAGACTGCATGAACCCAGGAGTTTGACCAGCCTGGGCAACACAGCAAGACCCCATTGCTACAAAAAAAAAATAAAAAATTAGCCTCGGCTGGGTGCAGTGGCTCACAGCTGTAATCCCAGCACTTTGGGAGGCTGAGGGGGGCAGATCACGAGGTCAGGAGTTCAAGACCAGCCTGGCCAACATGGTGAAACCCCACCTCTACAAAAAATACAAAAAAAAAAAAAAAAAAAAAAAAATAGCTGGGCAGTAGTGGCGCATGTCTGTAATCCCAGCTACTCAAGAGGCTGAGGCAAGAGAATGGCCAGAGCCTGGGAGGTGGAGGTTGCAGTTAGCTGAGATCATGCCACTGTATTCCAGGTCTGGCTGACAGAGTGAGACCCTGCCTCAAAAAAGAAAAAAAACAGCCAGGCGCAGTGGCTCACGCCTGTAATCCCAGCACTTTGGGAGGCTGAGGAGGGCAGATCATGAGATCAGGAGTTCAAGACCAGCCTAACCAACATGGTGAAACCCCGTCTCCACTAAATACAAAAATTAGCCAGGTGTGGTGGCATGCGCCTGTTAACTCAGCTACTCAGGAGGCTGGGGCAGGAGCATCGCTTGAACTCGGGAGGCAGAGGTTGGAGTGAGCCAAGATCGTACCGCTACACTCCAGCCTGGGCAACAGAATGAGACTTTGTCTCAAAAAAAAGGAAAAAAATAAAGTAGGAATGAGCTGCATGTTGTGGCGCAGTCCCATGAGGTTGAGGCTGCAGTGAGATGTGTTCATGCCAGTGCACTCCGGCCTGGGCAACAGAGTCACACTGTCTTAAAGCAACAACAACAAAAGGCCGGGCAGTTGCTCACACCAGCAATCCAAGCTGGGCACAGTGGCTCACACCTATAATCCCAGCACTATAGGAGTCCTAAGTGGACGGATCACCTGAGGTCAGGAGTTTGAGACCAGCCTGGTCAACATGGCAAAACCCTATCTCTACTAAAAATAAAAAATTAGCCGGTAGTGGTGGTGCGTGCTTGTAAACCCAACTACTTGGGAGGCTGAGGCAGGAGAAATCGGTAGAACCCGGGAGGCGGAGACTGCAGTGAGCCGAGATCATGCCGCTGCACTCCAGCGTGGGCGACAGGAAGACTCCATCTCAAAAACATGAAGAGAGAACTAGAGAGTCCATGGCCCGCAAGGCCACAAGACCGAGAATTCCTTAGGAGCCAAATGGAGCAGCAGACCTGTGATGAAAGCCGATCAGGAGACTGCCATGGAGGAAGGCACGACTCGTGGTCTTCATGCCTGATTCTCCATGTGCCCCTAGCTGGTTAATGATCAGATTTCCTGGGTGCCCACAGTGAGGGAGGGCGGGGAGGGAGGAAAGCCGCCCTGGCCTGACCGAGAATCCAGACATCACGTTCCTGGCAGAACACAGGCTGCCACATTCTCATTCAGAGCGGCCGTGAGGACCCTAGGCAGCAGGAGTCCGTTCCGATGTCTTTCTGCCCCTGCACCGCTGGGTAAGACAGACAGCTTCCAATCCAGAGCGGCTCCAGCAAGGGCACAGCAGCCCCTGAGCCCTGGGAACCTGCAGGCAACCCCGAAGCCTCAGCACACTTCTCAGAGTGCCCCGGGGACACCCGGCAATGTCTGGAGACACTTTGTCGGACTGGGTGATGTTCATGCTACTGGCATTGTGGGTGGAGACCAAAGGTGCTGCAAACATAACACGGTGGGCACAACGGCCCCTAGGAGACGCCCAGCGCCGGCAGTGCTGTGCTGAAACACCACGGCCATGGTTACAGTTGATTCTGACGAAAGACTATGTTACGTGAATATTTTGCAGTCAGATGAAAACATTCCCCCAAATGTGAAAATCTCTATCTTCTCCGTTGGTTTTTTTTTTTTTTTTTTTGAGACAGAGTTTTGTTCTGTTGCCCAGGCTGGAGTGCAGTGTTGCAATCTCGGCTCACTGCAACCTCCAACTTCCGGGTTCAAGAGATTCTCCCACCTCAGTTTCCTGAGTAGCTGGGCTTACAGGCACCCTGCTAATTTTTATATTTTTAGAAGAGACGGGGTTTCACCATGTTGGCCAGGCTGGTCTTGAACTCCTGCCTGCCGGTGATCCACCTGCCTCGGCCTTCCCGTGTTGGGATTACAGGCATGAGCTACCACACCTGGCCTTTGCCTTTCTTGTTTTTTAAAGACAAAGTCTCGCCCTCTGTAGCCCAGGTTGGAGTGTAATGGTGCAATCACGGCTCACTGCAGCCTTGACCTCCTGGGCTCAAGGGATCCTCCCGTCTCAGCCTTCCAAGTAGCCGGTATTACGGGCATGCACCACCATGCCCAACTACTTTTTCTTATTTTTTTTTGTAGAGACAGGTCTCGGTCTGTTGCCCAGGCTGGTCTCAAACTCCTGGTCTCTAGTAACTCTCCTGCCTTGGCCTCCAAAGTGCCGGGACTACAACCACGGGCCACCACGACCGGTCCCGGTCTTTCTGTAGGTAGGTGTAGAGTTGTATATGCTCTGGTTTAGTCTATAATTAAGTTAGAACTTATTTCACAGAATCCAAAGAAATTATTTTCAGGACTGCATGAAGGATGTATAGCATCTCATCAGAATTATTCAAATGATTCTAACATGAAGATGCAGATGGCTGTCGTTCCAGACTCCAGCATGATGCCGCTAGAGAGAGCGCAGCTGTTCCCCGCTGACCAGCGCCCAGCACGAGCTGGGGAGAGGCAGCCCCTGGTGCTGGCTGCAGTGGCCTCAGTGTCCTGAGAGCAGACCAGGAGCACTCCTGACGCCTGTGAAACTGCCTAATGGGCGTGCCCTTCCAGCACTGTGCCCTGGAAGGGGGGCCTGTGTTACACGATCTTTAGGCTTCTCTTCATCTAACTGGTGCCCCTTTGCCTTCCTAATGGAGCAGGCCAAGGAGCGTTTAAAAAACAGTACTTGGCCTCTTACCCATCCAATTCCCTGAGAAAAACAACTCCGATTGATGGAGTGCTTTGAAATTTTATCGGCATTGTAAAGGGTCCCTAACACCTCCAAGCCAGCACAGAGTCACCGAGTCACCACTCCCTGCTAAGGACTTTCTCAGAGGAGGCTCCAAAAACTGTCCGAGATCATTCTCCTTCGTATGCCCCATGCTGCAGCCACTGAGCGTCCTTCGTGCTGCCTTCACTGGGACAAACCACCTCGGCACGCCCCTTCCCGTGCCTGGCTCCTTCTCTGGGAGACCCTTGCCCCCGCAGTGCTCCCACCACACAGACCCTGTCCTCCTCTAGTGGCCCCATCCCACTCAGAGTGACATCGATGCCTCCTTTATGGGGGCCCCCATGCCCACCTGTCCCTGTCGCCTCCCGCCATGCTGGCCTCCTCACTGTCCCGGGAGGTCCCACTCTTCTAGCTTCCAAGGTGCTCTTTCCTCAGCTCTTTCAAAGCCCCGATCACTGTCCCTGGACAGAAAGGGCTCCCCCTTCCCTGGGCTGAGCCTGCAGCTGCCCACCACTCCCCACTGTGTCTTCCTTCTGGAATGTCCACACTGGCCAAATGCAGCCACCTGCACCCCCACCCAGAAGGCAAGCTCCACTAGGGGCTCCCCGCTCCGTGCTCAGCAAGGTCTGGCCCCATGGGACGACTGACAGTCTCAAGAGCAAGACATAAGCTCTAAAAGCACAGGGTTCGTGTCATGGCCACATGCCAGGCACCCAGCAGAGAACTGCCGCGTGCCCAGTACGCAACAAACGTGGGCAGAGTGAAGGAATGAATGGGAGACCCAGGCATGCAGATGTAACGGTGAGTTTGGGGTATGAAAAGCCGCTGCATGACTAAGGTGAGCGCGTACCCGGGAGTAATTCTGAAAAACCTCACAGGCTCAGAGACTTAACATTCTGGAAGGAACCCTGGAAGCTAGTTAGTTCTGGCTCATTATTCCTCACGGCCATAAGAGAAATCTTCATTAAGTCTCGATAGGCAAGGCGGACGGGCACATCTGTTAACATCCAAAACGCTTGCCTGCTCATAGCCATAGGGCCGCTGCTGCTGGGCAGAGGGCGCCGTCTGCGGTGCTCTGTAGCTTCCGTACTGCTGGCCTTGGCCTTGCTGGTAGCCGGGGTACTGCGAGGGTGCTCCCTGGGCAGGCCCTGAGAAAACAGCAGAAACCGTGAGGCTGGCCAAAACGGGCGTGTCCGTCTTTCTGCACCTGCAGGGGCTCCACGTTAACTCTGTACAGCGACAGCAGCACGCAACCAACGTACCAGCCCCTCCAGTCCTGTGAGGTCGCAGGACTGTGCCCCAAGCCTGCGACCAGCATGGGGGTACCAACAGCCTCTCCCCATCACCCCTGAGCTGCTGCTACCCAAAGGCGGGAGAGCAGGAGAGCCCTCCAGAACCCGCTGGTGCCAGTCACACTGGCTGCTGCAACTTAACTATCACAGGAGCTGCGGAAAACCTACAGGCAGGTGACACAGGCATCATCTCTAGGAAGCCCAAGTCAAAGCCTTCGGAAAGAACTGATAGAGGCCAAGTAATTTTTTTTTTTTTTGAGACAGGGTCTCACTCTGTCACCCAGGATGGAGTGCAGTGGCATGATCTTGGCTCATGGCAACCTCCACCTTCTGGGCTCAAGTAATTCTCCTGCTTCAGCCTCCCAAGTAGCTGGAACCACAGGAGTGCACCATCATGCCGGCTAATTTTTGTGTTTTTTGTAGAGATGGTTTTACTATGTCACCCAAGCTGGTCTCAAACTCCCGGGCTCAAGCAATCCTTCTGCTTCAGCCTCCCAAAGTGCTGGGATTACAGACATGAGCCACCGCAATGAGCCTCAAGTAAGTTCTTTTTATTTTGAGACAGAGTCTCACTCTGTCGCCCAGGCTGGAGTGCAGTGGCACGACCTCGGCTCACTGCAACCTCCATCTTCCAGATACAAGCAATTCTCCTGTCTCAGCCTCCCAAGTAGCTGGGATTACAGGCATATGCCACTATGCCTGGCTAATTTATTTTTTGTAGAGATAGGGTTTCACCATATTGGTCAGGCTGGTCTCAAACCCCTGACCTCAGGTGATGCACCCACCTCTGCCTCCCAAAGTGCTGGGATTACAGGGGTGAGCCGCCACTCCCAGCTTTCTCAAGTAATATTTAAACTACTATTTAATTAGCGATGGCCCTAAAGGGTGAGCAACCTTTAACAGGGCCTCTCCTTCCTCAGCACAGCAGAATCATGCATGAGTCTCATATGAAGCCATGTGTGTAGGGCTCATCCTGAGAACTGAGATTTTGCTCAGACTGATCTGGGGCAGCCCCAGACCTTATTTTACAGAAGCTTCCTGGGTGATTCTAAGCTGCAGTGAAGGCCGAGACCCACAGGCTTCGACCTGCTGTCAAAAAGGTTGAAGCTGAGCATGGGGCATGCAGGTGGCAGACGGACAGGATACTGGCTCCCTCACAGGCCGCCTGGACAATGAATTTATGTTGATGCTTAAGTTACAGTGTTTCAGGCCGACATGCATGGACGTTTCCAACTTTTCTGGAAACCTACAGCTATTCAAAATAAGAAGCTGATTACATATCTGCCTGCGGCCAGGGTTGCTGCACACGTGCGTGTGTGCGCCGTGGGTGGGCGCTGGGGCGCCCTGAGGAACATGCCCCCGCTTACCGTAGCCCTGCTGCTGCCCGGGGTAGCTCTGCTGGCTGGGGTACTGCTGCTGGGAATAGGCCTGCTGCTGCGCGGCACCCTGCTGGTACCCGGCCTGCTGCTGGCTGTACTGAGAGTTTCCTGGAGGGAGGAGGAGACACGGAGATGACTTCCTGTGCAGGCTGAGGGAGCCCCCCCCCCAGGCTGAGGGAACCCCCTCCGGGCTGAGGGAGCCCCCCACCGGGCAGAGGGAGCCCCCCCCCCGGGCTGAGGGAGTACATTCTGTGAGCGGCTCACAACACGGTAACTCTGGAATTCCAAAACCAAATCTGTGGCTTTGGCATCTGCACTTTCTCACAACGATTCAAATACTAAACTATACCTTTTTCTTATCTTACAGAAATACAAACAGAAAGCTAAGAAATGAAACTGCTAACGTGACAAGTAAGACAGAGACGAACGCCGGCGTTGTGGGCAGAACTGTGCTCCCAGGGATGCTGAAGTCCTGGAAGGACTCAGTCAAAGGCTTCAGGAAGAACGGATACAAGCCAAGTTATTACTAATAACTCACTCTGTCACCAGGTGGAGTGCAGTGGCGCAATCTCGGCTCCCTGCAGCCTCCGCCTCTACCTCCAGGGCCTGTGAATGGGACCTTATCTGGGCATCGAGTCTGTGCAGGTGTAATTTATTTTATTTTTTCCAGAGAGAGACCCTTGCCGTGTCACCCAGGCTGGAGTGCAGTGGTGCCGTCAAAGCTCACTGCAGCCTCAATCTCCCTGGCTCAAGTGATCCTCTGACTTCGGCCTCCCGGGTGGCTAGGACTACAGGTGTATACCAGCATGCCCAGGTAATTTTTAAGTCTTTTGTAGAGACAGGGTCTCCTTATGTTTCCCGGGCTAACCTGAAGCAATCCTGCTGCACCGGCCTTCCAAACTGTTGGGATTACAGGTGTAAGCCACCACGCTCCGTGCAAACTGTCAATTTTCCTATTTTACTTTTCTGGTTGGAAACAGCTTTCCTTTTTCAGAAGCTATAAAATTTAAGTATTTTAAAACTGGAACCTAGTAATGTATTTTTTAAAATAACAACTTTATTGAGATAATGCACATTGGAATCGCTTAAAAACCCATCAGGGTAACTCAACCTGTGGTTAGATGGGATGACAAAACCCCCGCTCTTATTCCAGGCTGAGCTCCTCCCTAAGGTGAGAGCTTTGGAGAAGCCTGCTTGAGCCTTCCCAGTTATTCTTCATCCAGGAAATTCCTTGAGTCCTGAACTTCCACACCTCCCTCAAAATCCAGGGCCGGTTCCAGTGACACCTGGCACATGAGCTGTCATCATCAGGTGGGAAGACTTAAGGTCGCTGTTCTTGACCCTGCCCTCACGAAAGCCACCTGACGTGGGGGGGTTTCTCAGCGGTGTCAGGTTTCTGGGGGTCAGCCTGCATATTCTCATGTTTTATAGCCCACTTTATTGTTTATATAATTAAGGAGCCAGTGTGTAGGAAATGGGCCAGCTTTGCCCTGGCACACAGCAGGCATGCAACAACTGTGCATGTGCCAGCTCAGAACACACAGCCCCAGTACCCAGGGACCAGGCCTGCCTCTCACACCCCACTGGGTGCTCAGGCAATCCAGTGTGAACAGGCAGCAGCTGCCCTATCCCCAGAGAAAGGGGGCTGCTGAGACAACTCTGCAGGGAAGGGGCACAAAGGCTGTGGAAAAGACCTTCGCTGTTTTCAGATGTGTTTCACGAAACCAGCAGAGCCGGGGGAGCCCAGGCTGTGCTCGTGACAGGAAAGCAACGCGGCGGGTAGATATGGGGCCTTTCCTCTGCAACCAGCAAATACTCCATGGTTCTTCCTTTTCTTTCTCTAAGAACTCTTCGGCATTCTGCGGGGTGTCTGTGAGAAGGTGCTGGGCAGCCTGGTGCATCTGTGTAACAACAGGCCAGCACGTGCCCTCTGCTTGCTCAGAAGGAGCACAACGCGGTAACAATCGGCCACAAGGGGTAAGTGAACGGGCAGCTCAGAGCCGTCGCATAAAAACAGTGATCCACGTGAGGACGCAGCCAAGGCAGCCCCAGTGCTGCCCCGGCCTCCCCACCCTGTCGTCCACCCCTGGGACACGCTGGTCACCACCTGGTGACAGCCTGTGAAACACGCACGACACACCGGCCATTCTCGGGAGTCCAGGAGGTGTGGACAGCCATAAGGTAGGGTCCCTTAAGTTTCTGTGACAGCCAACGATGTTCCTTTTTTCCCAAAGGGAATCTCGCTCTGTCGCCCCAGGCTGCAGTGCACTTGGGTGATCTCAGCTCACTGCAACCTCTGACTCCCGGGTTCAACTGATTCTCCTACCTTAGCCTTGCAAGAAGCTGGGATTACAGACACGTGCCACCAAGCCTGGCTAATTTTTGTATTTTTGAGTAGAGATGGAGTTTCACCATGTTGGCCAGGCTGGTCTCAAACTCCTGACCTCAAGTGATCCACCCGCCTCAGCCTCCCAAAGTGCTGGAATTATAGGGATAAGCCACTGTTCCCGGCCCCGGTGATGGTTAACTTCTGAAGCTGCCAGCACGTCCACATGATTCAAAGGTAAATGCAGACAGACCCACAGCTTCAAGAGGTCCCGGGAAGGTAGCCATGTCCACCCCTGCTCTAGCCTAACCCCATGTCCCACTGTAGGCGTTTGTTTGTTGTTTTGGTGTTTGTCCAGTTGGCTGATAGTGTTAGCGTGCGTGTGTGCAAGTGTACAGTCTCATCTTCCTTGTATTTTCACAGAGAAGGCTCATCCCATCCAGCCCCACACCCGGCTCTTGCAGCTCATGGGGCGGTCTCTCCTGAGGGCCATGGTGCCCAGCAGCCAGGTCACAAGGAGCCAGGCTCTGTGCCGTCTGAGCCACTGCAAACCCACTTCCACGCAAGTGCAGGGCTTGTGCCCCACCTGGGCCCCTCCCCCACCACGCACCACATCCCAGTGCTCCCGCCCAGCATGCGTGGCCCCGTGACCCCTGGTGTCCCCTCCTGGCTTGGTCGGCCCCACGCTGGTCCCCTCCTATTACTGGTGCCCTGTGCATGAGCACCCTCCTGTTTTCTTTTTCCAAAAACCCTATGTGTTTGTTGGCTCTGGAGCACCCTCCTGTTTTACTGGATTCTGCAGGCTCCTGATGGATGCTGTCACCAGGAACAATTCCAGCCCCAGCCTGTCCGACGCATCCTGCTGAGGGATGACACAGTTGGAACATTCTCTCTCTCTCTCTTTGTTTAAGACAGAGTCTCCCTCTATCACCAAGGCTGAAGCACAGTGGTGCGACCACAGTTAACTGCAGCCTCGAACCCCTGGGCTCCAGCTACGCTCCGCCTCAGCCTCCCAAGCAGCTGGGACAACAGGCGCTTGCCACCATACCTGGCTAATTTTTCTGATTTTTAGTAGAGATGGAATCTCACTATGTTGCCTAGGCTGGTCTCAACTTCCCAGGCTCACACAATCCTCTGCCCTGGCCCCCACAATGCTGGGATCACAGGTGGGAGTCACTGCACCCGGCCTGGAAAGTTCTTCATGGTGCCTTTGACCTATTCCTCCTAACGTCCCCCAGCCTCTCCACTGTACCATGAGCCACTAATGTGTTTGAAGGTGGCTATGATGCGTCCCTCAGTCTCTTCAGAACAAAGCACCCCCAGGCCTCTCACCCTGCAAGACTGCACAGCACCACCTGCTGGAGGATAAAGTGTCACCTACGTATGTGTCCTCCTCATGTCAGAATCTAACTAACAAGCAGATGGAATAAAAGCCTCCTAAATCAAGGAGGAAACCATGCCACTGTCTTACTGGTCTTAAGAGATTACTGGCTGGGCACTTTGTAATCCCAGCACTTTGGGAGGAAGAGGCAGGTGGATCATGAGGTCAAGAGATCGAGACTATCCTGGTCAACATGGTAAAACCCCGTCTTTACTAAAAAAAATACAAAAAATTAGCTGGACATGGTGGCAC